ACTCTTTGGTATTCTGCACCAATACACAAAAGCCAAAATAATTTAATTTAAGTCTGTTCTGTGATTAAACTTTCTCAGAAAGCTGAAGAAAATTACATTCACAACAGTGATTTGTGAATCAAATGCAATTTTTTTAACACTCAACTATATTATTCCTCCTTTTATTCCTTTTAACTTTAAATGTTTTGTTGCTTTAAAAGTGCTTTTTATTGCTAATTTACTTCAAAGTTGAAAACAGGAAGTTGTAAAACATTCCATTAGTATATATCTTCAGAAACATTGTTCAATTGGATTTTATTGCTTGTTGTCTGGCGTTTTGATTCTCTTGTAGCCTTTTATCATTGCTGTTTACACATGCCAGCTGAATGAGTTATCCTCTGATCAAAGGGTTAAGCTGTGTACAGAGAGCAAGGAAGCTGGATCTAAGCAATGCTAAAAGTAGATTTTGAGTGCTGAAAGCAGATATGCACAAGGACTAGTTAATGCAAAACATCAGTATTGTTTTCTTCCACTGGGCTTCTGATCATTGTCACACTGGTTTGTTTTAGCAGAATGGGATTTCTTCATATAATTTACATTCCATTATATGTAATTCCCTCAGTGAACTCTTCTGTTTCTCAATTGAAATGCTGCACTGTGAAGAACGATTTTACACACTGTTTATGACAATTTCACAATTTGTTTTCAAATGACTAAATTCCTAAGTAGTCACGTCTGGCAAGGTACATTTCCAAGGCCACAGACAGTCACCACGCACTGTGTTCAAGAGACCATTCACTTAATCAGTGAATCAAGACTTCAGTATTTTTTGTTCGTCAAATTTCCCTTCTCATCTCTTAAACATAGTGACTATTGTTGGAATACAGTTCATCAGCCTCAGGTAAAGACTACCTTCCAAGTAGCCATGGTTGAGCCTGGATGGTGAGTATTAGCAGGATACATTGATCATGAAAGACATCATAACTGAGTCTGATACTATCTTCAGCAGGCATCTATCTGATCACAAATTTCCTCCAGGGATCACTTGACAGTAATCGAGAGTGACCCCCCCCCAGCTGACTTCTTTCTCTCACTAGCACTGAGACACTGAAATGAACTATAATTTCCCATGTGGAGTTCTGTAGCTCAGTGGTTAGAGACCTGGGTTTGATACCCGACAGGGAGAAACGTTGGGCAAGTTTCCTTACTGCATACGCCTCTGTTTACCTAGCAGTAAGTAGGAACCCGGTTGTTAGTCAATTGGCGGATTGCTTTTCTGGGAGTAATAAATCCTTCCAAAAAAATAATAATAATCAATTGGTCACTCAATCCACGACTGTTTGTGGAACTGCTGTGTGCCATTGCCTGCCACGTTTAGCCCACAAAATATACAGTGAATTCACTTTACAGTATATTCTGTGAAGCACTTTGAGACGTCTTGAAGACGTGATAAGGTGCTATATCAAATGCAAAGATTATTAATAGTAGTAGTAGTATTATTATCACTGCCTTGGCTATTATCAAATAACTTTTCTGATCAATATGGTCAGTAGATCAAAGATGGGTGCATTTAGTGACTAGAGCCATTGAGAATCCCTATAGAGTGGAAATCCGCATATCTAAAACACCAGCACTTGAGGAATATGGGGCATGAGAACATTGCAGTAAAATGCAAGGTCAGGTGAATCCCCTGGTCCATTGGTAATGAAAAAATGGTTTCCCTGACATTATCCAAAGGACACAGTTATCAGAAACCATTCTAATTCATTGGGAATCTTTCCTTTAATTCTGCCAAGCAGTTCCTTCAGCAAAGTGACCACATTAGATTCACTAGATTTGTAGCCCTGATTTTTTGGGCCAGATTTCTGGCCCTTAAGAACTGCTTATCACTGCCATCCTGCCTCAGGCACAACTCTACACCTAAATAATAATTTCTAATAAATGCTGACAGTATCTGACAAGCACCACATGCTTTTTCAGAGTTATAAAACAGAAAATACTGCAATAATCTTGTTGGAGTATTTTTGAAAACGGAAGACTGGGAATTTGCCTGAAACCACTGGACAATCTCTGATGGTCAATCTCTGACCGGCTTTAAACCCATAATTATTGTGCCTGATGAGGAAAGCTACAGCTCCTTTCTATCTGGTGGAGCCCAGGAATTGTCTTTCAATCTCCACACAACCAATTCTCCAGGGCTCACTTTTCTCTGAAGGCTTCAATGCAGGATCCAAATGAACTTAAATCACTGACTGAAACGAATGGCAGCAAACCAGAAATAAATTCCTAAATTGCATGCGGCTTCCACATCTTGCAAGTGCGCAATGTAATTGTCTGTAGCGTTTGGATAATTTTATTCAGTTAGTCAAACTAAGAGGCTGTTACAGCTATAAGTACATTCCAACTTTTTTTTACTGTATTTAGAATGCACACAGAATCTTATTGATCAATCTCAACATCTCAACATCAGCAGGCTTTGAAAGAGAAAACTGATCAAGCTTCCTGCTCTTAAACTCTAAGAGTAGTGGTTACCACTTGTAAGTGGTCAGTTGAGAGGACAGGGATGGATTTGGCTGTGCTTTTCTCCAGCCAAATGTAATACATGGTATGAAGTATGTATTGCTCAGACATCAAAAATATTTGTATGAGGTACTGCAAAGAACCATCGCCTACCCATTCTCTTACCTACCCATTATACTGCTACTCCAATGTGAAGTGCTGCCTTCAGGAAAAGAGAGTTTACATATGAAATTACAGAGAAAATCAGTGGAAAAAAAACTATTTTCACAAGACGGTCTGTGACCATGTGTTCTTACCATTATTAACTGCTGATACAATGGTCAATAGGAATGTTGTGCTTGGTTCTGTGTCACATTGACAGGAAGGGGAATGGTTTACAACATTTAAAGAGCAGGCTATAATCCTGAGAAAAATGGACTTTCACTGAGTTACAACGCTCTTATTAAAAGTGAACACAATATGAACAGTTTACTGTTTTCGTATCAGGCCCTTATGAACACTGCTGATGTATGCTACTCTCCTATGTTAGAAATAGCACAAATCAAACGTTATTCTGCTCAAAGATATGAGTTGCTTTGAGGGAATGAAAAAAGGGAAGATTTTTTAAATGTTTCAAATCATGGTGGAACAAAACTGATGCGTCCAGATTTTTTGGTTTGACTGGGACTCTAAATAAATGAAATATACAAGGCTGTATAAATCTTGGTCAGCGGAATCTGAAGCAGGATACAGGGCGAATGAGTCGGAATAGCGATTCAGTGGTAAATGTTCCATTTTTTTGTTTCACCAAATAGATGGTGCTTAGGAATTCCATTATGTTGGATACAGTTTAGTCGAGATGTTTGTGTCTAGTACTATCAGAAATTGGCGGAATGATATATGCAATCATTGAAAAGACATTGCTCTGACTCCAGTCCTGTCTCTATGGGTTATTCTGTGAAGCTTCCAGAACTTGAAACATTAAATCATTGATGTAAACCTTCAAAGCATTAAAATGTTTATTACCTAAATATGTAACATGTTGCGTTCCAACATGCTTGGAGAATATTATGACTCAATTGAATTATGTGGTTTCCTGTATTTATCTCATGCAGCATTGGAAAAGTAAACCAAATTCATTTTGGAGATGTTAAGATGGTACAGTAGATCACATTTATTTATTTTGAAGGCTGCAAAGAAAATCTAGTAAAGTTGAAATGATCATATTGTGCTGTGCTGTGTTTCCTAACCATTTATGGCTGTTCTCTGCATTATTTCAGAGCAAATGATACAATTTCCCATATTCATCTCCAGATCGCAGCTCAGAATTACCTCGGGTGCAAATAATTTAATCCTGACACTGATCACTGTGCCAATGTCAGAAACAAATTAATTAGTGGCATACCTCCCCCTCCTCCCTCCAAAATAACATGTTTCTTCAAAGATCCCGAGCTAAATGTTGCTAAAAATAACAGAGGATGTAGTACCTTTTGCCAGATACAAAAAAAAGGCAGCATATTTTTGCCAAACAAAATCTGGAATTAAATTCAAGTCCCACATATGGATAAAAAGGATGTACAAACATATGTTAAAATATCTTATTTTCTCTACTGCCTGTGGAAGTACTGTCGCCAATTTTCGCCAAAATTGTGTCTGGAATACAAACTCTTTCAAATGCCTACAGTTTTTGTTTCTATGATTCTATAGAAAAAGAGATTTACAAGGGGAGATATGGTATCTGTAGCTGCTTATATATATGTACACCTCACCACATCACAGAGAGATTTATTTGGCTGTTGACCAATTTACCCAATGCAAAATTACACAATTCAGCTGTTACCTGTTCAGTCCAAGTGAAACCTCATTGAAGTTTAAATAATTTCTGACGTCAAATTAAATCTTCCAAAGACAGGATAGGATGTGCTTTGTGTTTGGCCATTTCGGGAGGTGGGGGGTGTGGGCTGGAGGGGAGGTGGGGGGTGGTATATGTGGCGAGGACCAAAGAAATCATTAAACCTTCCAAATAATCGGGTTGTATCCAAATCAACAGATTGTGTGTACGTGTTCCCCTTTCTCTCTCACTCTCTCTCTCTGTCTGTCTGTCTCTTAGTTATGAAATTAACTATGTATTGAGTATTAACATAACTTGCGGTTCAAGATGCTAAAGTGCCTTAACTGATAAATACCTGACAATGTGCACTGATCATTTTCAGGTTCGTTCACATCCATTTAAGGGAAGCTCTCACGTTGGGCATTATGTCGCGTCCTCTCATCCTCTTGAATATATATATATATATATATATTGCTTTAGTTACAGTGCTGCACAAAGGGGGAAAGGGGGGGGAGGAGATGGCAGAGATTGTGTTTCAAGCACTGTTTTCCTGCACAGCGGGTACTAGCGAGTCAATTGAAAGACGTTTCAGCCTTAGATCTTGATTTATTTTAATTATGTTTACAGTGAAGCAAGAGTCCGGAATGCCTGACATTGCTTCACTGATAAATCCCCCCCCCCACACACACACACACATTACAGGGGGGTGGGGGGTGTGATTAGTTATGATGCTAATGTCCGAATTCAGGTAAAAGATGAGAGAAAAGAGTAAACGGGTTGTTGAGTTGATTTTTATCTGTAATTTTTTTTGGGTGGGGGCGATTCAACAAACTTTGCAGTCAATCGTGTTCCTCATCATGCAAATTTAATTGGCTTCACAGCGAACTCAGGTTAACGCACTCAACGCAGACTGAAGGGCTCTGGAGGATTGCTCTCATTGCAAATCTATAGGGGTGAACTTCGTTCAGTCCCTACTCCAGTGTAAAAGTCAAACGTCAAGGGAATCGAATGGATTGTACGTGCAAAAAAAAAGGTGCAATCTCTCCAACAGGGAAACAGGAAGGTGGTAAATACCGTCGTGGTCAATTGTCATCTGTCCTGGGAAAGAAATAATAAAAAGTTGGTGTAACCGGATCTGCACAGCTTGCTATTAATAAAAGTTGATTTGCATTGCTCTTAAATGAGACCAGAGAATCAACTGGTTTGAGAAAAGGACGTGTCGTTAGCGAGGTCAGACCAGTGATGTAACTGTCGGATAATTTCTCTGTGACGATTATTTCAGCGCGTTTTAAAAATAATTACAGCTTTTTTTTAAAAAAAAGTACATCGCGTTCAAATACCAATTTTTTTTGTCTCCCCTCATGTTTAAAGCACTCAGCCAGAAACCAATGCTTATGCTGAGGCTAACACCATGTGCCCAGACTGACCAGAGCAGAAATGGGCCGCAAAACAAATATATTCCATCCATCCTAAGAGCAAACTTAACGACTGAAAAAAAAATCGCAATTCACCCCAAAAAAACGCACTCGCACACTAACGCGCAAAAAAAAAAGCGCCTGCAAAAACGAACTATTAGGAATTGCAATGGCGTGGAGAGAGAGAAAAAAATAAGTATAACCATGTCATATGAATTTTGAGAAAGTTGGTGGCAGATGCTGTGCAATGGAAACGCTTACATGTACTTTGGGAGTTGTGTTAAATAGGTGCAGTCGGATATTTTTTTATCCACTCAACGTGGATCTTTATTGACTTTAGTACGTGCTCTTGGACAATTCTGTTGTCCTTTGATATATCATGTGCCTTTGCACACTATATGAGCTTTTTATCACCCCTAACCCCCCCCCCCCCTCCCCCACCGCCCCCATCACCCCCTCTCCCTCTCCCCTCTCAACCTGCTTTGCCGAGATGCTGAATAGCAATGGATAGCCAAGCCATCACAACTATGCCCCGAGACTGATGATAGTTGTTATGGAAAGTGAATAAAACGTGTGATGTGGCAAGTTTCTCGTGTTCTCTCCATCTCGCTTCGGGGAGGTGAGAGAACCAGTAGATCAATACCGTGTCTTGCATGAAGTTCCCCGCAGCGGCTCCATTTCTCACCCTGGACGTTGATGCTAACTATCAATAACAATAACAGCCTGTCTCAGACAGAATTAAGGTCCTCTGTCCTGGATGTGTGTCTGGTGGCTGTAGATAAACATCTTGCCCCAAGACTGCAACAAATAAAACGTTTGAATCGCTCTGACCCTCAATTTATTTTTTTACCTTTCCCCCCCCCCCAAAAAAAATATTAAAACATTTTTTTCCGCCTGTAGCTTGGGTGAGACGAAACATCAGGGGCACCGAACGCACAAAATGGTTGCATTTGAAATCAGTGGTAACGAAACACGCCGAACACACGTCGCTGGATGTGCGAGTGATGATTCATTTGAAATTTGACATATTGCAACTCCGGAGGTGAAACGTACAAATGCGTTTGTTGGCTCGTAATAAACACCGAGCCCGTGTGTTTTTTAAAAAAGAAAGGAATAATGCATCTGGGGGGGGTGTATCTGGGGGAGGGGGGGAATAAAGAGGAAACCACATTTTCTTTAATGAAATTTGCTGCCCCTTAAATGAAATGCAATTAACTGAAGCAGAATTTGTTTTATCATTTGCCTGCACTGGGTGTTCAAGACTTTAAAAAAAAATCAACACCCAGTGAAATTCGTGTGTTTGTTTTTCTCCCCCAACACCCGCACTCCCCCCACCCACTCCCCCCACCAAAAAAAAATGTTTGTCTATATTTAAGAGTATGGAATATCAGCTGATGATACATGTATAAAATATGTAAATGTCGATCAAAGACACCAGGTGGTCCTTTATGCACACTCAGCTCAATCACACTCACACAAAGGTGAACGGGTTTACCTCTCCACAGGTGGGGTGTCCCAGTTATTCAGGGCAAAAGTATGTCTTATCAATAAGTGTTTGAAAGGGAGACAGGCGTGTTGGAGGGCCGCTGACAAACAGGTCGGCCAAAAGGCATCGAAAAAAAAATGTGTTCAGAAACAATCGAGTTAAAATCTTTTGCCTCATCTGGTTACAAGGTTAAGGAGTGTTCACTGGATTCGGCCCCACAACCCTCTGGTCATTCGGTGAAAACAACCATCATTTTTTCGGGGGCTGCTACTGTATTAAGTTGGAGCCCTTGGCTGACCCATATTGCTGATGATTCAATTATGTGGTCAAAACCTCTGTTCATGAGCAGTGATCAATTATGCTATGTCAGCAATAATCGAGGGTGATTCAATTGTCTTTCCCTCCTTGTATCGATTATTAGTAAATAAATCAGTATTTGGGGTGATGTCTGATGCCCACACAGCAGTGCCCCCCCCCCCCCCCCACCACCACCATCACACTCACTCGACATCCTGGCCCTGGGCTATCAGGAATAGGAGGCACGATCCATCACTCAAACTTATGAAGAGTCCCAGTGTTTTTTTTTAAGCCTTGTAGAGATATTTATTTGCGATGACTAAATAAGAAAGAGGCCTCTGATCCATCAGAACCTATTGGGAGTATTTTTTACACGTGCGATTTTGTTTGGGGTTGGGGAGAAGTTGCACACGGTATCAGTATTATATTGTCTGTTGAATAATCCTCATCAGTCTGCGCGCTCTTCTTACTAACTTGTTTATCATTTAAGGACGTGATCAAGTTGCAATTACGCGGTCATCACGGATCTGATGTTCAGAATGGGGGGGTGGGGGGGGGGGGGGTAAGATATTCTTTTGACATTCTGAGGATGTCAAGGTCGTAAATACCCGAAAGCCAAAGAAATTCCCGTTTCCCTCCAAGGCTATTACACAAATAAAAGTCAATTAACACAGCCGATTGTTCGGCAATATATACAGTATATATATATATTATATACATATATAATGGTTTAGATCATTTAGATAGGCTCCTGGATTATTTATCATCATGTAGGCGGGTTTTTTTTTCGTGTAAGTTTGTAAATTCTTGTGATTGTCGTGAAACTGCACTTGTATTCAGATTGTGGGGTTTAATAATCCTGCCCAAAAGAATCTAATTTAGATGGTCTCTCGCATGAGTGCACTGCAAATCATGCCCTGTTTACAGTCTCATCCACACACTCAGTTCAATTAACTCCAAATTGATTTTGCCAACTCGGAGCCTTAAAATATTAGAATCATTACAGTTTATCAAGAGTGTATTACAAGCTCAGTCAAACTCCAGGGAAACACGAGAGCTGTTGACGGATTCGTAGTTTGGTTGCTGCAGCATTTAAGAATCGAAATATTCTTTTTTTTCCCCAAAAGAAAAGACTTCTAATTTTCACGTGAGGAACACGCGTTCAATATTTTATCGCAAAGCTTTGGAAGATGATGCGTTTTTTTTTAAAAAAATGAACCAGCGACTCTTTGAGTATCCATCACTGACCAAAGTGCCTCGTTAAATATTCCGTAAAAAATAATGGCAACTCACGAACGACCTACCCACGTTATTATCTACATTCTTCAAAATCATCCCAACATGATAGCTTCGTTTGTCTTTCTAGTAAAATGTACTCTATAACATTTCAGAAAGGGGGGTGGGGGGGTGGGGGGGGGGATCTTCTTATTAAGGAAGAAATAACCGCTATTCCTAGCATTTGTTCCAAATGACGTTATTTCAAACAACTTTGAAATGCAATTAATTATTCACAATTATCCTTTCTTTTGAAATCGGAAATCAGTTGTCATGTGGACTTTTTTTTCATGGCATTTTTTTCCTGAGGCTTTCGTGCAAGATTTCCTCCTCCCACCGCCCCCCTCCCCCTCCCCCTCCCCCCGTACTCCCCCCACCCCCGACCCCTTATTTTTTTTCCATGGTTACTTTTGCACCGTTTATTTTATATATATCATATATATATATATAATCAATGGAAAAGCAAAAGTGTAAGAGTGGGCAATTCATTGCCTTAGCTTCCGATGTTACTGCAATATTTGACGCGTGGTGTTTTTTAAAAAACATTATTAGCTGATCCATTTTTCAGTGTTGTGTTTGTCAGATGCATGTTCACAATTCGAACATGTTGTGTCCAGCAAAAAAAAAACCCACACCAACCAAATATCGCTCTCGTTACTGACCAGAGGCGACACTCCCAAGAAACGGAAGCGAACCTGTCAAAAAAAAAAAAAGTTTTGTCCCTGATGGGGAGCGCTTGTGACTGGGACTGCTCGATTGGGGACGGATTTTAAACGTACTTGGCTTAAAAAAAAAGATGAAGTGAAATGCATTCAAATAAATAGCTACAGAGGTAACCATTAAGAAGAGGGAGATTTGACCAGAGCTGTTTTAAACGTTCTGGTTCACTTCGGGAGTGCTTTATCCACTGTCTGCGTTGCAGTTTATAAATCGTGAAAAGCATTAGAAAAGGGGGTAAATATTTAGATCCGGATCGTCCGGCTGTTTTCTTGCTGCAAACATATTATTTATTTATAAATAATACTTTGAACAGAGCATCGTCCCACCGCTGAGGTTTTCCACGACGCTCGTTTTGAGGGTAAAAAGTTCTTCGCGTAAAATAAATGCTCTTTTTTTTTTTGGCGTGAAATAAATTCTCTTTTTTTTGGGGGGGGCGTAAAATCAATTTTCTTTTTTTTTCCCCCAAAAAAAGTCTCGCGGTGATCGATGATTGACTTCGTTGCGGCTTCCCTGGTGTGAATGTGGGTTCGTTGGGTGAGGATCGCGCAAAAATGTTAAGTTTCTGATCCATCACAGGGCAGAAAGATGCCCATCCATCCCGCTTTATAATTTACAGCTTTTCTGCGCGTTTCGTGTGTGTGTCTGTGTGGTGTGTCTGTGTGTGTGTGTGTGTCTGTCTCTTGTGTTTTTTTTGTTTCCAAAAATAAAAGTGATCAGTTGCAGCCGAACTCCCCCAAACTAATAAGTTGAGCCATGGCGACGCTGTCTCCAGCGAAAACAGAGCTGAATTGATAGCGATCGCCAGGGTTTCACGACTGAAAGCTCAATGAACCAACGATGGCCGCAGCAGATCCCTGACTGACACTGAGAGCTGCCAATAAACGGGGGTGGAAGGGGGCGGAGGGGAGGGTGGGTGTGTGTGGGTGTGTGTGGGGGGGGTGTGTGGGCTCATGTTGCCCATCGCCCACCTCCAGTAGCCAATGGCAAACACCAATGCCACGCTGGCCCCGGTGTGTGGGCGGATCACAAGGACAGGGTCAAGCTCTCTCAGTGTGTGCCTTTAAACTTTCCACCAAGTTTAACGCTCTCTCTCTCTCTCTTCTCTCTCTTAAACCCCAAACCCGCTTGTCTTGATTTGTGGTTAGTGAGGGAAGTTGGGAGAGGAGGGAGGGAGGGGGGGGGTGGGGGGGTGGGATTCGTTTAGGAATAGATATTATTTGTTTTTAACATCAATCAATCAAAATCAATCAATCAATCAATCGCATTCATATAACGTAGCATTTATTTCCAGTGTCAGCAAACGGCAGCGCAGTGCGATCGCGTAAAAAAAACATACACGTTGCGTTCACCGACTCCAACGGGAGCGCACGTTACGCGTCGCTGCTCCGCAAGTGCAAAACGCTTAACAAATAATGTTGTCTTGTGTTGTGTTGTGTCGTGTTGTGCACTGATCTGATCCGATCTGATCTCTGCGACTCTTTATGATCGTTGGCCAAGTCCAGAAAGCAAATGAAAATGTGCGGTGTTTTTGCCGTCTTTTCTCTCTCTCTCTCTCTCTCTCTCTCTCTCGAGTTTCACCACTGGATTAAAAACTAAAGTGTTGAAGCCAAGGAACCGGCGGACGCTGCGATCTGATCACAGCAAAACAAAAATAAAGAGGGGCAAACGCACACGCCGCCCCTTCCGAAGGGCAGGCACAGGTCTAAGCCGAGGCTTTGGGTTGAGGTTGTCATCAGTCCCACCTAAAAGTCACACTTACGAAAGGTAGCAAACTTACCAAAGCAGTGCTGAGACTTGTCAACGTGCAGGTTATTTTTTCTCACTCTCTCTCTCTTTAGTTGGGGGTAGGGGGGGTGGGAAGGGGCAGGGGATGGGGAGAGAGGGGAGGTGGGGGGGGGGAAACAAATAAAACGTAATGATTTTGTCTTGTGATGTGCATTGATCAGATAGGCAAAGGGCAAAACACAAAAGCGAGCGAGCGAACGAATGTCTGGGAAATGGAAAGCAACCACACACACACACATACTCACTCACTCACTCACTCACACACACACACACACACAAAACCTGGCGTTTGAAATCATAAGAAGATCGATGCAAACCGCGCTCACATCAATTGCATACAATAAAATAAAAGTTCAGAGAGAGAGAGAGAGAGAGAGAGATACATCGGGAGCTTTTGTGTGTGTGTGTGTGTGAGTGAGTGAGCGAGCGAGCGAGTGAGAGAGAGAGTGTGTGTAAGAGAGAGAGACGGAGAGAAAGAATCGAGGAGGAGAGGAAGAGGAAAGGAGAGGGAAAGAAAGAGGAGAGAGAAAGAAGAAAGGGGAGGGGGGGGTGGTGGTGGTAAAAAGAAAAACTAGCCTTAGCAACCAAAAGGCGTGCAGATGCAACCTTAGCTGTGGGCGCGTTGCTATGAAGGAAGAAGGGGAGGAGGGAGGGAGGGAGTGGGTTGGGGTGGGGTGGGTGGGGTGGGGGGGGGGGTGTAGTTGGTGGGGTGGGGGGGGGGGGGGGTTGCTGCTTGTAATGCAGGTGCCGGGGCCCGGGCAGGCGATCACACATTCACACAGGCGGGCAGCCAGTCATTGGGTGAGAGCCCGGGGAGCAGCGCCGGGAGCCACAGAGCGCCAGCAAATCACAAGCTAATTGATTAAGTCGAGTAATTTGAATAGTCTTTAAGCCGGAGCTGGAGAGTTGCCAATCGGCTTTCAAGAAGCGGATGATTAATCGCAATGCATTATTGATAATCATAATTATACCCCCACCCCACCCACCCCCAAAACCCCCCCCCCCACCACCCCACCACCACCACATGCACACACACACACACACACACTCACTCACTCACTCACACACATACACACACACTCACTCACTCACTCACTCACACACATATATGCACAACGCACACACATGCGCACTGGAGGCGCCAGGGTCAATTTCCGTAATTTTGCAACTCCAGAATTAGTAATTTTTTATTCGCTTGCTGATGTATCAACCACCATGTCGCGTCGGAAGCAGGCGAAGCCGCAGCACATCAGGTCGGACCAGGATCTAACCTCCGCCGCCGCCGAAAACGGTGAGTCTTTCCGAAACGCAAAGTCGCCCAAGTTTTGCAGGAAAAAAAAACACACACACACACAGAGAGAGAGAGAGAGAGGGAGAGAGAGGGCTTTGATTGACGGGAGTGCGGAGGGTGGAAGGGGGGAAACTGGAGATTAACGTGTGTGTGTGTGTGTGTCTGTGTGTGTCTCTCTCTCTCTCTCTGTGTGTGTGTGTGTATCTGTCTCTGTGTGTTTTTTTTTGGGGGGGGGACTTCTTCGTTTTTTTCACGAGGTCTCTCCGATTGCACAGAAGTCACGATGCGCTCACTCGACCTCACTCATAACGCACAGGGAAACGTCGAGAGGGTACAAAAAAAAATTGCTGCTTAAAAGTACACGCTGCGCCCTCCTGATCTCTTCCCCCCCCACCCCCACCTCTTTCTCTCTCTCTCTCTCTCTCATACACACGCACACACTCATTCTCCTTCCCCCCCCCCCCCCCCACCACCTCCCTTCCCTCCCTCTATAGAATGTGCACACAAAACCCGCAGAAGTTTTTTTTTATTAATTTCATACCTTTATTGGCAGCGCGAAGCTCGCCTGTCCTGCGCGCACCACATGTCTCCCGTCTTGCAGAGAAGAGACGAGTCAAGTCAGCCCTCCTCTCATCTCCAGGCTCCCGCTGCTGGGATGGGTTTGAAGGACGAGGCAGGGATTCGGCTGAAATTATCGCCGAATGTTTTGATGGAATGAAGTCCCGCAAATAGACGAGGTTTAAAAATAACTCGGGACTGTAACGATGGCAGTGTGTGTGTTGTGTGTGTTGTGTGTGTGCGTTGTGCGGTGCGTGTGTCCCGATGTGACTTCACAGTCGGTGGGAACCAGCGAGTTACCTTTGGTAAAGGGAGAGGGGAAGGGAAGGGGGGGTGGGGGGGGGGGGGGGGGGGAGGAAAGTTCGCTCGATTAAAAACTGTGGGTATGTTGAGGTTTTTTCTTCTTTAATGTAAGACCGAATGCACAATTGCTAGTTTGCATTTTGCTTTTGGGGGTGGAATTAAAGAGAAAAAAACCAGCCCGACCAAAAGTGTTTTCTTTTTCAAATCCCCCTTTTTCCCCAAAAAAATATATTAATGGGACATTTACTCTGAAGCTCGAGTCAATTGACACATTGGGAAAGAGATAAGAGGGTGTGGGTGGGGGGGGGGACATTAACTATTCTGTTTCTCAGGGGGGTTTAGTGGATCATGGGCTGGTTTACTGTATTTTATTTACAGAATCCTTGTAGTTTATGCGAGAATGTTCGACATGTTTACACTTCAACCAAAGCTTTGCTATAAAAATCCTTATTTTTTTTAGGGTGGGAGGGTCCAATCTCTTGCAGTACTAACCTTTCTTTCCTTTCCCTGAGGAGTGGTGGTAGTGGTGGTGGTGGTGGTGGGGGGGGGAACCTTTACAAAATCTATCTTTGAGGCAGTTAATTGTTTGTGAAACACTGGTTTACGCAGTCGTGCTTTTTAAGAAACAATGTGAAGTTTGATCTCATTTATCTTGAAATGAGCTGACGGTATTTTGTGCACAAGTTTTACTGGGGTTTTGCAAAACATTTATTTGTTGGCTGGAATTTCACGAGAGAGAGAGAGAGAGAGAGAGAGGGAGGGAGATGATGGTCTGGTTTGCAAAATCAGATAAGTAGCAAATGATTTTTGTGTTCCCCTGTTGCCATTCTTGTCCATTTCAGAGGAGAGACTGGTTGTGACTTGTTAACAGTCCTGGGGTACAGGAAGCATCCTTTGGCTTTATGTTTCTGGATACTTTTAGGACGATTTTTGGACCGTAACTTGCGACCCATTTGCGAATCCCTCGAGCGCTCAGCCTTCTGCAAAAGCAACAAATTGCGCTATTAGGAAATGTGTAGGAGCTGACGTGCCATTTCGGATGTGTGTGACTCATCCTGATCTGTGAATAGAGCACACAGTTCACTCAGCCTCCTGAATCAACCAGAGATTTACTATTAAACCAGCCCAACATCACTCAACCGGGGTTATTCATTAAAACACTGCTATCACAACAACAAAAAAACACACCGCCTGACCGTGGGTATGTATTTTCCACTTTCTAACCCAAATTGTCATTGTTTTGATATAAAACAAACCTTCCAGGGAAAGGTCGTTTTGGCAGCGCAGAACTGTTTACACTTTAGCAAAGCGGTTCCAATTCCTTATCAGACAGACAAGACCACTTGTCATCCCCCCACCCTCCCCAAAACCCACTTTAATCTGAAAAAAAGAGGGTGGGTGATGGTTTTTCCTTTGGGGCTCTTAAGCTACATCGTTGCTTTTGCCCTAAAGAGATAACCCAAATTGCGCGATTCGCTGGGACATCGCATTCGATCTACAGGTGTAAACCAAAACGCACGTTGGAATTGTCGCTCTGGTTTTTTCGGGGCTGATATTTTTCTTCGGCGGTAATTTCCTGAAATGGTCGCCAGTTAAATGAGTTTTTAAATTAAAAAAAATAATAGAATTTGATCTCTTTTGGCTCCTTTCACTGAACGTAAATCGCATCCACCCTGAGTTCTCAGCAGCTCAGATAATTGGATGTGTTTTTTTGTGTGTGTTGTTGTTGAAAGCGCTTTCTCTATCGCATGTAACTTGGGGATCTCTTGAACAAACGCTGATATATTTTTTCTTTTAAAAAATAAATGCCTTTTTCTAAGAGAGAGCGTTTTTTTTTAAAAAAAAGCAAATAATCTTAATTTCCGACAAGATTTTCCCGTTAAGAGTTGTGTCTTTGATCAGTTGGTGCTTCTTAAGAGGGGATGTTTCGTGGCAAACGTTGCAAAAGGCAGAATTCAATTTAATGGGAAGATTTCACTGCAAAGGCGGCGCACACATTATTGTAGGTCTAATGTATTCGAAGACGAAAATTATAGCTGTAAAAGATAGTGAAGCTTGTTCAAGCATTGCAGGAGTTTGGCCGAATTCATGCCATTTTTACTTGTTTTGGAACTTTTTGGGGGGAGAAACTGTGGATTTAGTCCTTTTTGCAACCTGCTCCTTTTGTTATGTAAACTACACACGCATCTTTGATACATACACGCAAGTGCAGCCGTTGAGGTTGTGTAGTACAGTATATTTCTGGTGTAGATTTCCCTCGTACTCCTGCGTTGTGTACTGCATCCGTATCAACATCACGAGTTTCAAAAGATTTATTTCCGCAGCTTGTAATGTGGCAATTGGGGTCTTCAGTGTATCATAACTCTTTATTGTGCTCAGTAAAATTGTCAGGTCGGATGTTGCAGAAAAAGATGCAGAACACCATCCAGTTCCTTCCAATTGAGAGCAATAAGGTGTTTGTGTTTGGGGAGTGTTTGGCGTGCAATTAATTTTAAGAAATTGAGAGTTGGGGGGGGGGGGGGGGATAGGTTGAAAGTGCTGTTGGCACTATTGCTGGAGTGGAGCAATGTCTTTTAAGTGTTTTGTTTGTCCCTGGTTGGTAGTCTGTGCGCCTCCTTCAGCCGTTCTGTGCATGTTGAAAGCAAACCTGATTAAAAGAAATGTGAAGTTGCATTAAAGAATGTTTTTACTGTCCCTTTGCTGTAAGGATACTTGTAGTAGTTTCGGTACTTATCCCAGTGTTGTGCTAAATGACTGCATCTTGTTTGGTTCATGCAGTGGGAAGGAGCTAGGAGATACTTTAGTGTTCTGCTGTTTTAACCTTTGCCAGCCTCCCTCCATCCTAAGGTGACATAGTTCATAACACAAGATGTACTTCAGTACCTTTGAAATGACCCTAGAATTCAGTCTCACAGGCGGCTTGGCAGGATATAAGTAGTTTATTTCAGGTTTAACCTTATCAGTACTACATGAGCTACTAACCCCTTTCCCCTTGAATGCCAGACCCCTGATGAGGTGATTGACGGCTAGTTCCCACGGCACAGTTTTGCCATACCTACACCAGGGATTCAGTTTCTTGTCACATTGCCAATGTTTATGCAGCCAAAGCTTGCATGTAGCCTAAAGCAGAAATACTTTGCGTGTGAGTAGAACAGTAGTACTGAAAAGTTTTTTTCCCCCCTCTCAGTTAGCTGTTGCAACTGGTACCCCATCTAGTGTTCATTCTCATCCACCCACATTTTCATCTGAATGCCAGAATTATTTCATAATTTAGTCTCAGCTGTAAAACGGCACACCGTGGGTATTTTGACATGCTTTTAAAATTTAGTTCAAAGATATAATTGAATGATTGTCCGTTTGGGGAATACCTTCCAGTCTTTTTTCAGGGAGTGAGTTCTAGTGGAAATGAAATAGAAAGAACAGAAGAATTGCCCTTTAAATGAAATAAATTGCTTTTGCAGGCATTTCTCTTCTCCTGCAGCACATCCATAACTTCCATGCAACCTTCTTTGCTGTTGCTTTTAATTTATTTTAAGCTGTGTTTTTCTGAAAGATAAGTAACTGATACCTAATGAATGTATTTTAGTGTGTAGGGAAGAGCATTCTTAGCTGTTATACTTACATTGCCTTTCAGCACAAATTTTGAACGTCAACTGTAGGATTTTTAGTTTAACGATCCATAATTCTAGAGTTTTATAAGCACACAACAAAATTCTTTACTTGTGTGTACATCCAGTGGTGATGAATATTTAATAAATGCATGCCACAACTGAGCTATTCATGAAAGACATATGCCTGAATTTATTTTCATTCATTAGTATCGATATATAGGGAAATTGTTCTAAACAAAGTATATCACTGTTTGTTTGGATTATTTTGTAGCTCTCACAGTCAAAATTTATCTTGGACTTGAATTACTGAAGAACATATTTCTTCACAAAGATTTTTTTTAATGGTGCAGTAAATCCAAATTGTGATTCAGTTTTGTTTTTGTTTGTTTGCCATCTATAAGTCAAAGTGTATGGAATAAAATTGCTTTCTCTCTTTCAATGAATATCCTGTCTTATCATTATTGTGACTTCACAAACAATTGTAATTCAGTGCTCCTTTTGCTCATTTCTAAGAAATGCGGATAAGATAGGTTTCTACCAGAATTAATATTCCAGTATTGAATAATATCACTAATGATAGCTTCAAACCACACTAAGCTTGTGGTTCTGTGCTTCTAGACTTCTTCATGCTAAGTTACAAAACCGATGAAGTGAGTCTTGTGATTTCCCACAGTAGTTATTTAGTTTGTATTGGGAATTATTTGTTTAAGCACAGCTGACCAAGCAAAAGGTTTTAGAGTGTCTTTGTGTTTTGATAAATGTGATCTAGTTGAAAAGTATTTTTTCTCTACATGGGGAGTCTTAGCGGGACATATAGACTGGATGGTAGAATGTTTTAAACTGCAAAGCATTCCAAAATAACTCGAATTGCTGTTTGTAAAATGTCTTTGAAAAACAATACATGGCATTATATATATATATAAAATATATATGTTGGAAAAATGTTCTTTTTCTTCACAACTGTTTATTGGACAGAAGAGCTGTAGCTCAAGCGTGCATGTGTAATTTATGTAACAGACGAATCAAGCAGTTTAGAAAAAATCCATCATATATCAATGTCATTTTCTCAAGCACAGATGGCTTTGTGTACTTAAAAACTTAAAAATTGAGCCAGATGCCAGATAAATCTTTCACTTGTTACTTTGGTGTTCCTTAGATCCATTGTATTTTGGTTTCCTTCCCTCCCTTCGGGTGTAATCACCCAAACTAATTTTTAAAAGTTGACATCATAAATAGTTTACTTAAAATTTAAAACCCACACACAGACAACAATTCCTACACAATTCCAATTGTGCCCAGTGAATAAAATTGATATGATCTAACTGTGCATTTTGGATTTGACTTTTATATACCAATACGTAAAATTTAAAAACTAGAGCTCCGCAGGTCACAGAATGACAACTTTGTAAGCATTAAAAGTGAATGTACTGCAAGAGATGACATTAACAATCATTGTTCTGAATGTAACCTTATGGAGACTTAGCAGTGTGCAATTGAACCACATTATTTCAGATGATCTCCCCAATATCTGGAATTAATTGTTCCCGTGCTTTGCTATGGACTTGGATCCTGATGTCATGGCAACTTTCTATTATCTAATTCAGTGGTAAAGGGAAACATGCAGGCAGATAATCCCTGAATTAAACAAGATCAGCTTTCTGGGCCTTCCCTGATGACCACACACCATTGTGAGACAGAAGTTGCTGTCCTCACGCTGAGCAAACAATAGGGAGCCATCCTGTCCTTGAAAAGGATGAAGTGGGTTAGAAGGCTGAAATTTTTGTTTGATTTGCAAATTAATCCTCAGTCTGATGAGAAATGCAAGCAACCAGTGCGAATGAGAAAGGAAGTAAAAGGATTTCTTTGCAAATGGTCTGAGTGAGGGCAATTTGCTTATCAATAAATCACATTTAGCAACTAAATGTTTCAAATTAACACAAATATTTCCAACTGTGCAGACTGCATGATGCTTGTCAAAGACCTTTCCAGAAATCTGTGGCACTGGCAAGTACTGTATAACCCAATAACCTCCAAAGCTTCTTTGAAGCATTTTAATGCTCAAGATTGGTTAGGTTACTGCACAGAACAAGCTTTCTTTCACTCCAGACAGCATCTTTTAAGGACACACGTTCGCTCATTTATGGGTGGATATAGGTCATATATTAACAAAACAATGGAAAGAACGTCCATTATGTGTTTGTTACCCAAGTAAAATATCACGGAATGATTGATTTAGCAAATTAATAAAACAGTCGTATCATTCTGTAAATTGCAAAAGACATTTAAATTTAGTAAAATTGTGTTGCTTTTTGTTTGCCTTCGTAGTTTGCATGTTTGTATGTGGTATGTGTGTTTGTGTTTCCCATAGTCATTAATGATTGCTAACTTCGTTTCTGTCCACTGGTGTCTTAAGTACTATCAGAAGTGGATTGTTTGGAGGACCAGGTGGCACAGTGATAACACACTGACTGTCCTTTCACCTCTGGAAACCGTGTTCCAATCCAAACCAGATTGAACACTCCCTTTTTATTCGAGCTGTTAAAACCTTACTTAAAAAGAGTTTGAGAAGTTTCAGCTCAGTTTCTGAATGGGTACAGTGCAATGGGACAAACCTGCCTTTAATTTAGCACTAAATGCAAAATCTCTTTCAAGGAAATTTATAAGGTAGGGGCTGGTATTGGGATGTAAAACAAAATCACATTTGTACAATGGAGGAGTTTTTTTCTGCTGATTGAGATTTAAGATGTGTCGATAGGAAAGAATAGAGGAAGATTTACCTTGCCTCTGGGCTGGCACCGGGAGCAAAAGGGGAAGAATTGTTCCTGTAACTGGCAGCCAGCAGCTTGCTGATTGTGATGTGATAACTTTGTAGAAAAAAATGATGGGTCTTTTTCTACATGTTATTCTCCCTTTTGTGTCCGGAGTAGTCAACTCCTGAAGCCAAGCAAATGGCTCAAGCCTCATTAGGTAATAGGAGGTACACAAGAGCAGCTCAAAGATGACTCTTCGCTTCCCTGTGAGGATATGTGGCTCAGTGGTTAGAGCACTCGCTTTGCAAGCGAGAGACCTGAGTTCAATTCCAGGCAGGGCGAAACCTTGGGCAAGTTTCCTTACTCCACACGCCTAATAATAATCCCTCCAAAAACCAAAAACAATAATAAAATTGGTCATTTTCAATCTACGACTGTTTGTGGGTCATTGCTGTGCGCAATTGGCTGCCGCGTTTGCCCACAAATATACAGTCAATTCACTTTACAGTGTGTTCTGTGAAGCGCTTTGGGACGTCCTCCTGACGTGAAAAGCGCTATATCAAATGCAAGGAAGGATTACTATATGCCCTGTCTCTGCCCTGCACGTGCTCACAGTGGTACGGCAGTACAGAAATAATAATAATAATAATCCTTGCATTTGTGGGTGAAACGCGGTAGGCAATTGCGCACAGCAGCGTCCCACAAACCATTGTGGATTGAGTGACCAAATTATTATTTTAATGATTACTTGACAGGCATTACCATGAAGTGTTATAATATTAATGGAGAATTTAAGATGCTCTGGTTCTTACAAGTGCTTCTCCAACGTTCTGAGTCAGTGAATTACAGAAAAGATAAGCGATTGACGATTACTTATATTGTGAAAGTGTGGTATACACTTAAATGTTGCATGCATTTGTCTCGTTCTGAAATTTTATGAAATATTCTTTGAAACAATTTCTAAAATTTACTTGCAGACTCGCTATACAGGTTTATAATTAAAAAAAATTGTTCGTAGGACCAAAGATTAAAAGTGTAATTTCATAATTTATGACTTTTTAAAAAAAAATCTAATCTCTTCAGAATTTTCATATGCTTTCATTTTTAAATGTAAAATGTGCATTGTTATAACGTGCATCAATATTAATTGCTATAGGTTCAAGTACAGAAAAGTGAATAGATTGGCAGCGTATCCATTTTTTATTGCAAAGCAGACTGGTATCAACTCAGGAAAACATTGTACCATATGAAAACTGCCTTATCTTGGGGTTTTATACCAGTCCTATAATTGTAATGTAGCTGTATGTATGTTGTGCCCGGTTTGGTTCGAAAGAACCTTTGATCTCCCTACATGTCTCCAGGCAATAAAAGACCCAGTGTGGTGAATTAGTTGCAATGTTGGTGTCCCCTCTTTGCACCTGTGTTATTGGATTTAAAAGGTCAGAGGTCTATAGCAGTGTAAACATTGTAGACCTTCGGATTGGTACCCAGATTAGCCTGCCAGATACTAATGTAAATAAACACGGCAATAGAAATGTATTATCTTTTGGCCTTCCGAATAAGCAATAATATACCCCGAATTTCAGCTGCCGGTGAACTAACGGGTTAACAATTTTCTATAGTTATTTTAAGAGCTCAACTGTACCGGGTTTTTAAAACGGCTTTGTCAACCAAGGTACTGAATCTTTAAAGCATGGCATGCAATATTTGGGTGAAAAAAATAGCCTTTTTTCAGAATTTGGTGCTTTTTTTGTGGGGGGATGGGGGAGGAACGGGGGAGGGATGGTAGGAGAATCACAACATCATTTTGGTTATACAGGATATTGAAAAAATAATGTGTCATGAATAATTACAGAGCTCACCATCTGCCTTATGTAAAACAAAATCACAACTTTGAAACTCTCGGTGTATCAAGATCTGAAAGACTAGGTAGTGACCATGCTACAAGTTGGATCCCACCACCCCTATCCCCTGACTGATGTCAGGTGACACGGCCTCTGTTTCTCCTGTCACCTACTGATTGGGATCCGAGTGACGACAAATTGGTTCAGTGACAGGGAGTGAACTGTCAAAGACCGATCTTATTCTACTAGAAATGAAGAAAGTTGACAGTTGCTGGAGATTCTTAACGAGTCCTTCAAATACTTGATTTGTACTCAGTAGACAAGGCGACAATGATGGGTATGAAATATTGGAAATCAATATTTTCTATGGAATTTCATTAAGCTTCAATGACTTTAATCCATAGAATTTTGTATTTTGATGGATTGTCTAAGGGAAGTAGTTCACTTAAGATTTAGTGAATGATGGAAACCACATGCATAGCTTTACAGATATTCATTTTAAGCATGATCTGTGTTGTAGAAACATTGATTTTTTCCCCCCACCCTGCACCTCTCTTTCCTTCCATGTCGCATTTTTGATGAGGGATTGTGTGTCAGTTTATTCACTAATCTCATGTTCTTTTTAATTTTCTAGGAGCTGCAGGAGAAGGGCACAAGGAACGAGTCACTAAGAATGGGGATGCTCACGTCTGTGGTCGGTGTTGTGCGGAGTTCTTTGAACTGCCCGATTTCCTTCATCACAAAAAGAATTGCACTAAGAAACAACTGGTTCTGATTGTAAATGAAAACTCAACAGCTCCGTCAGAAACGTCCGCTCCGAGATCTCCTCCCGATAATCCCGTTGAACAAACAAATGACAAGATTGATAACGCGAGTCAAGTAGACTGCAATGCATTAGAGCATAAAAAACTTGACCAAGAAGAATCCATGGAGGTGGACACTTCCAGCATCACTAACAACTGTAACGTTAGCAGTTCCAATGGTAATAACAATAGTAATACAAGCAGTAATTATCCTACAATGGGTACCGTGGCTGTCACAATACCTCTACCTCATATAGGTGATCTAACAGCTCTGGGAAATTTCTCAATGCTAAACAGTAATGTGATCATTGAAAATCTTCAAAGTACGAAAGTGGCAGTAGCCCAGTTCTCCCAGGAAACCAGATCTAACGGTGGATCAAACAGTAAAGTTGCTGTTCCAGCTCTCATGGAACAACTACTGGCTTTGCAACAACAGCAGATACACCAGTTGCAGCTTATTGAACAAATCCGTCACCAGATAATCTTATTGGCTTCCCAAAATGCAGAAAGTCCACCAACGGTCAACTCTTCCCAAGGTACTTTAGGAACTGGTGTTAACCCCTTAACCACACTTAGTTCACATCTATCTCAGCAGCTTGCTGCAGCAGCTGGGCTAGCACAGAGCCTTGCCAGCCAATCTGCCAACATTAGTGGTGGGAAGCAACTCCATCTACCTCAGAGCAGCCCTGGAAGCACCACAGCTCAGCCTGGCAGTACTTCTCCTCCAAAATTAAATACATCTTCGCTGTCCAGTACCATCCAGCCCTCTGAAAATATGTCTGCAAATACCATCAATGGGTCTCAGTTAATCGGTCCTTCAGTAACAACAGCATCCATACCAGCTCTTGGAATTAGCAGTTTACTAAGTCCTGCATCCAGTTTGTCCAGCTCACTGCTACCTCAGTCCTCCACCTCCACTTCTGTATTTTCCAACCCTCTGTCGAACATTGAAACAACTTCAGGAAACCTTGGCCCTCTGACTGCCCTGGCGAATCAACGGAAAGGCAAGCCACCGAACGTGGTAGTGTTTGAAACTAAAAGCAGCTCTGACGAGGCTTTCTTTAAACACAAGTGCAGGTTCTGTGCTAAAGTGTTTGGAAGTGACAGTGCCTTGCAGATCCATTTGCGTTCTCACACTGGAGAGAGACCTTACAAATGTAACATATGTGGTAACCGATTCTCTACAAAAGGAAATTTGAAAGTTCACTTTCAGAGGCATAAAGAGAAGTACCCCCACATTCAGATGAACCCCTATCCAGTCCCAGAACATTTGGACAATGTTCCAACAAGTACAGGTATTCCCTATGGAATGTCTATACCACCTGAAAAACCTGTAATGAGTTGGCTGGATAGTAAGCCTGTATTGCCTACATTGACCACATCCGTTGGCCTGCCACTCCCATCGACTATATCAGGTTTGTCTACTCTTATCAAATCAGAGGAGAGTCAGTCTATCTCAGTTAACCCGTTTTCCGGCAGCCCTCCTGGCTCAGTTAAGAGTGACTTGGGAGCAACAGAGCATTCCGTAAAAAATGATCTTCTAGATGAAGTGGAAGAAAGTGCTTCACCTACCTCAAATGGTAAAGTAGATGAAAACACACAATCAATTAATTCTGTCACCAGCTTGGCTGTCCCTGTCAGCTCGAGTGCATCTGATTCAGGCCTAAGTAGTACTTCTGCTTTTACAAGCCCTCTTATACCACTCATGTCAGACCCATTTAAGTCAAAGTTTCCATTCGGAGGTCTCTTGGATTCCTTGCAGGCTTCAGAAACTTCCAAACTGCAACAGCTAGTAGAAAATATTGACAAGAAGATGACTGATCCCAACCAATGTGTCATTTGCCATCGAGTTCTTAGTTGCCATAGTGCACTGAAGATGCATTACCGAACACATACCGGCGAGAGGCCCTTCAAATGTAAAGTCTGTGGCCGTGCGTTCACCACTAAGGGAAACCTGAAGACCCATTATGGTGTTCATCGTGCCATGCCACCACTGAGAGTTCAACATTCTTGCCCAATTTGCCAGAAGAAATTCACAAATGCTGTTGTGCTGCAACAGCACATACGAATGCATATGGGAGGCCAGATTCCCAATAATCCGATTGTTGACAACTACCCTGAATCTATGGAATCTGACACGGCTTCATTTGAAGACAAAAATATCGACGATATAGATGACTATTCAGATGAGAACATGGAAGACTGTCCTGACAGTAGTGTACCGGATACACCAAAATCTGCAGAGGTGTGTCGAGGCATTCTGTGCCCTTCACCATTGCCACTGGAAATGTCCAGCATTGCAGCTCTTGAGAATCAAATGAAAATGATAAACACTGGACTTGTTGAGCAGCTTCAAGCAAGCCTCAAGTCAGGTGAGAATGGATCAGCCGACGGAGACCATATGACTAATGACTCTTTTTCATTGGTAGGGGATATGGAGAGCCAGAGTGCTGGAAGTCCTGCTATTTCAGAATCTACCTCTTCCATGCAGGCCCCTTCCCCAACCAACAGCATCGCAGATAGTCGTAGGTCAAAGTCGCCAGGCTGCGAAGAGAGACAGCATGGAACTTTACTGTCTGATTTATCCATCTCAGTGTCTCCAGCCCATGCCAATGGTGGTGCCTTGGACTTGACTTCTAGTAACACTGAACGAATAATTAAGGAAGAAACTTTAAGCATGCTGTTTCCCAGTCGAGAGCGGGGTAAGTTGAGAAACACATCTTGCGATATCTGTGGCAAAACATTTGCTTGTCAGAGTGCCTTGGACATACATTACAGAAGCCATACCAAAGAGCGTCCATATATTTGCACAGTATGCAGTCGTGGCTTTTCCACTAAGGGTAATTTGAAGCAGCACATGTTGACACATCAAATGCGGGACCTTCCATCTCAGCTGTTTGAACCCACCAACTCTAATATAGGTCCTAATCAGAGCTCTTCAATTGTGGCTGCCAACACTTTGACATCCCTAATCAAAACTGAGGTCAATGGTTTCATGCATGGCTGTTCTCAGGACAGTAAGGATCCACCTGCTAGCCTTATTTCATCAGGGCCTCTTCCTCTGTCTGTATCTGCTGTCTCGCCTGTCCTGCCAGCCCCACAAAGAAGAACTCCGAAACAGCACTACTGCACAGCATGCGGGAAAGCTTTCTCCTCCTCCAGCGCTCTGCAGATACATGAGAGAACGCATACTGGAGAAAAACCATTTGCTTGTACTATTTGCGGAAGAGCTTTTACCACCAAAGGCAACCTAAAGGTACTTTTCCCAGATCATAGTATCAAAACTTGTTGAATTAATTAAAATCACGTCAAAATCAATCTGAAACTTAAGTGCAGTATTTTTTAAAATTCTCAGATATTAAACAAGGTGGAGGAAGTGGGGAGAGGATGAAGGCAAATTCACAATGTGTGCACTTGTTCTTAACTGATTTAATTCAATGTTAGTTTCATATTAAGAACTAAACCGTGCAATTTTACTTGTATCTATTGAAGCAACATATAGATATAGGGAAAAATATTTGCGTGCACTAAAGATTGCTTGCGAAAAATGCTGCATAAAGAAAGTGCCTTTCCATTAGCATTTGTACAAGTGCACAGTAATATACTGTAGTAACATTTGAAGTTAATGTTTCATCCCAAATTAAATTCCATTGGAATGAACAACAAATGCTCAGGACAGTAAAATAAATACATGTGATACAAAGCTGATTTGAGGCCAGTTAGTGGATGAATAACCAATACACCCCAATGACCTCTGCACACAGCAATAGGTCAACTCTGGACAACAGGCTTTGTCGTTTTTGTAAGTTGTCTTGTTTGCAGAAAATTACTTTTATCTATAATGTTAGGCTCTGAGTTTCTCTCGACTGGAATTCTTGAGGTTGAATACTAAGACTCAAATGGCGTCCACATTCAGATTCCCCCCTCTCACTTCCTGTCCCCCCTCCCTGTAGCGAGTTTGGCTTTTTATGAGTTGATGAAGGAAAGGGCTCTGATGAATGTATTTGGCAATTCTGTATATTCATATATATACTGGCCTGCCTAGCTTATGAAGAAGAATGGTGTAGATACTGAGCATTTGGGAATGAGGAAACCCAAAAAAGTCTTAGAACTACAACAAAATAATTGTGCACATATGAGAACATTCAAAATGCAAGTTATTTTCTTAGAAAAACAAATCTAAATTCCATATATGATTAATAATACAATGAAGACCTGCAGCTTTTATTCATCATTTAATTAATAATAGATTTATTATATTCCCAAGAAATGAAAGGATCTCTTATTATCGATAATGGAGTAACTTAACATGTATAAACACGACTTACAGAAAATTAAATGTACTTCTGCTTGGAGCTTAATTTAAAAGAGATATTGAGAACTCTAAATGTGTGTAGATTTCGTCTGACAAAATATTTCTCTTGGGATCACTCTAGTAATATGAGAGGAATAATAACCTTCAGCGCCTTCTCTATGGACAGTTCTCTCTGATGAGCAATCAGATTGACAAGTAAAGGATATTTTATCCCCAGCCTGAAAAGAATGTTTATTTGTAGAGTTAGTGATGTCAGTTGTAATATGGGTTATCACAAAGAAACAGAACAGAGCAGTCCAGGCAGTTCATGTTTATCGTCCCACAGCTCCATGCGTTATTAGAAAGGATTATTACTTGTGAAGATCATGAAATGTGTACAAGGTATCAAGTACGCAGTGGTCTGGTTTGCATGACTTTACTTAGCCCAACTCATTTTTGTATTGCAGGTTCATATGGGGACCCACATGTGGAACAGTGCTCCTGCAAGGCGAGGGAGGCGTCTTTCGGTGGATGGGCCCATGGCATTCCTCGGAGGGAATCCTGTTAAAATCGCAGAAATGTTTCAGAAGGATTTGGCTGTTAGGGCTCGTGATGGAGACCCTTCGTTTTGGAACCAGTATGCAGCTGCACTAACGAATGGCTTAGCAATGAAGACCAATGAGATTTCAGTGATTCAGAACGGTGGGCTTCCTCCAAACATCGCCAGCCTCGGCAACGGAGGCAGTTCACCCATCAGTGGTTTAACGGGAAGCATGGAAAAGCTTAACAGTACTGAACCTAATGCGCCTCTAGCTGGTCTGGAGAAAATGCAAACCACTGAAAACGGAACACACCACAGATTTACCTGTTTTGTGGAAGACGACAAAGAAATTATATCAAACTAAAGCGACAGCGAACATTCCCAACAATGGAAGCAATCTGGAGGCGTCTTTCAAGGCCAATGGACCACAGTGTTGTGAGAACACATTTTGTACAATGCCTAACTTTTAGTGTTGTATGAAAAACTTATTTATTAGTGATAACCTTGCTTTGCAAACCAATTGCAAGTGTAAACTACTGGTCTCCAGCATCTTGACCAATATACTAATGGACTAGAGTGCTTTAAATATGTTGTAAGGTTTCCAGCATTTGCAGATCTGTTAGGTGATTTTTGGCCCTGGCATTAACTTATTTTATGATTTGTGAGTAAACTAGTTTTAACATGATTGGTGTTGATGCAATGCCTCAGAAACCATTTGATCCCTAAGAAAGTTCTGTATATAATGTAAAGTTTTGGTAATCTGCTGGGGGTATTCACCAGCAGTCATTTGTTCAGTCATACCTTCCATTAACGAGGAAAAACTGTAAATTGCAGAATTGGAATTGAATGTTGATCCCATTGTTCTGTGGACAGTTTACCTTTTACTGTTTTTAACACCATGTGAGATTGCAAAAAGCTTTTTTTGTAGGTTTAACATTTCTTTTTGTTTCTAAATGGTTCTTTGTATTGTGCTTTTTACTTACGTCATCCAGAGATATTGATGAGTTGAGTAAAAAAAATGAGCACGATGGTCATAGAGGGAAACGCCTGTTATTGTACCTTAAAATAAAATAAAAAAAGATTTCTGCCCCATAGGTATATTTAGTATAGAAGAAAAAAATGTGCTGGACTTTCACATTGCTGCTACATAAATGCATCTTTTGAACAACTTTGAAGGGAGTAATATGAAGCTATGTAGATTGTCTTGTGTATGTGTGTGTTTATATATATATATACATTATATATATATATTTATACATCTCATAATGACATCTGTTTAGGGAAATCATTAATGTATATACTGTACCGGTACGTTGCTTAAGACGAGGCTTCATCTTCACCTACAGACAAGAGATAGTGTTTTATTGTGTAATAATTTTGTATTAGGTATGGAAAAAAAACCTTGTGACTGATATATGCACTTTCTTGGAAAGCTGGAAGAAACAATCCAGTTTCACTAAAATTTAATACCTACTAACAGCTGAGGTACTGTAATTCTTACTCATTTAATCAAATACATGAGTTTTGCAACAGCCATCCTTAATGCGTGTGTTTTTACTTTCTCTCCTTATACTCCCTTTTGAGTCTCCTGCAGTAGCTTTGTAGATGTAAACTGTATTCGAGCATCAATAGGTGAACCGAGGCTTGAGAGGTAAGTTTCCAGTTGCAAGAGTTTATATAATTTATTTTTGAAATAAATGTGTTTTAATCAGGAAACTAGTCTCCAAATTCACTGATTCCTAAGAGTTCACTTACCAACGTAATCTTAAGAGAATTCTGTTTGGAATTGCATCACACTGGATTCTATTACAGTATTTCACACGCCTTGCGCAATTGGGAAGAATTCTTTGATAAGACCCTCATGACGTCTTATAATGTCATAAGAGGCAACAAAAAGTACAATACAATCGGGAGCAATTTATGTTGACATCGATGTATTGAATGCATATAGTGCAAGGGTAGTTCTGTGAGCCAATATACCCCAACATTAAATATCATTCAGCCATCCAGTGCTATCTGTAATGTAAACGTCTGGGTGGCAGACTGGATGCACAACGTATGGGAAACGTGAAGCCTTTCCTGTGTACCCCCAACAGGAAAGTGGGGCTGCATATCAGTGCATTGGTCAATCTCTGTATATACCCTTAGCGTTGGAGATCAGGGCAGCGATGACACAGAAATTGTTTCACTTCTAAGTGGAAGGCAGTCCCTCTCACAAGCGCTATGGAGGTTGCACTGTGTGGGATGTCTGGCAACTTAATCAAACTGCGTTTTAATATTGACCCAATTGATTGAGGTCTATTCGTTGGCTTTCTGCAAGCAGGGGGGTTAGGGGGGTGGGGGGGGATTGCCCAGATTCCTTTCTCCAAACGCCCCCCCCTTTTCCTCTTGAAAATAATTCTGAGTGCAGTTTCTCAGCAAAGAGGAAAAGACGAGGAGGTCTTATTGACGGCCCTTTTTCCAGCTGTCTCCCACTCGCCGTTCGCACAGTATTGACATCGGAGGAGACAGTGGGAGCTTTTCCCAATGATTTTCCTTCATAAAGTGCTCACAGGGACAGGATTATAAATTCTTCGCGTGCTCTTCGCTCTCTGGTCGCTTCATAGGATCTTTAATTACAGTATCGATTAGATCAGACTCCTTCCGTCCTTCACAGTCACTATTGATGGGAGGAGTTGGGCTGTAGCTCTGGTAATTGCTTTTGTGCTGGATATTTGTTTTCTCTTATCTCTGAAATTAGTTATCGCGTCGAATCCAGTACTTGGGTTTTTTTTTGTGTGTTGTGTGTGAGTGTGTGTTGTGTGTTTTATACCAAATGCATTTTTGCTTATTGTGTGTGAATTATATCAAATGCATTCATTCATTCATTCATTCGTGTTAGTACCTGAAGCGATTTGCAATACTTAACGTGTGTCTGAATTGTCGGGAATAGAAGTGGATTTGGACAAACTCCCGTCAGCAAATACGTGAAATAATTGTCACTCTTAATTTACCAGCTTTTTGCGCTTTTTTTTTGGTTTAAATTAACGTGGTATCTTATCTAAATGCAATCACACTGGGAAGGGATTTCCCTGAGGCTGCTCTTGCACATGTCTTACGAGTTTAGCATCAGGGGATACTTAACACGAGTAGAGATGGTTTTAATCGTATCAAAATCGCAGTAAAGTTTCCCAAACTGCAGGAGGCAAAAAAAAAAGTCAAAGAGAGGGTAATTTGACATCCGTGTCACTTTTTGCGCACCTCAGCCACAAGGTCAAGATAGATTTAAGTCACGGTTTTGATTCATATTTGCAGCACTTCTCACTTCAATGAAGCCTGCACGTTGCATTAAGTCAGCAAAACCGTCCCCAAATTGCAATAGCATCACCACAGCAGCAAAGGCTATTCCTCAACATCTGGTCATGTCAAACCTCCCGGTACACGGTGCTTTAAAAAAAAAGTGAATTAGAAAGTATTGGGGGAAAATATTTCGCACACAGTGGTGCATTGGGGCCACATGGACACATAAGTTTAAATCAAGGTAATTACTTGTGTTTTTAATTGCTTGCACATTTTGCGTTTTCACAACACACAAAACGATAGATTTCCACTCAATGTTGGTGTGTGCATAATTTAAAGGCACTGCTCGGCCGCCAAGCCAGTGTGCTGAGGGAGCATTTCGGTGATTTTTTTGTTGTTGTTGCTTCATACAATATGTGCAATATGTGGATCCATGAAACCTGCAACTGCAAAATGCACCAGAGCTTCTAAACATTCAAACCTCAACACGAGCTCTTAGTCTCGAAGATATAGGATAAATTCGGCTGGTTTGTTTTTAAGCACATTAGGCAGGATAATTGTTTTTTGCTGTTGAAAAAGAGAAGCTCTCTAAATCTAAACGAATCGACGTGCTTGGTTTTACTCGTGAACTGAGGTTACAGGGGAAATCGGTCTGCAAACTACCGCCGTTAAGATCTGTTTATTGACAGTGGCAGCCTTCTTCAAATGAGCCTGTTATTAGTGCATAATAAGGTGGCAATAGTGACCTACGATTTCCTTTAGGTCTTCCACTTGCATTTTCCTGCGAAGAACAACTTTATTGTGCTGAAAAGCAAAGTTGATTTTATTCAGTTTAAATTCAAATGCAATGTGTGCACCGATCTCCCATTGCCCACACGGTGGTTTTCATATACAATATAATATATATATAATATATATATAATAACGCTATGTGTCTTTAGTCTTGATTATAATTGATTGACTGACGCTAAATGGTGAGCGCTTCCTTAATGAGGCTAAAAATCTATACCACATTTTCATGTTTGCTTTCCCATTAACAGACCAGTCATTTGCAGGGACATTGGGTGAAATAAACACTAAAGTCCTGTTCCGATTGTGCTTTCACTTTATTACATTCCCCAAGAAACACTGTCTCACGGTCCCTCTTGGACCTTAAGATCTATGACTCTTAATAAAGATCGCATAGCCCTTAATACCAATGAAACCGCAGGTATTTGCCTGGAGAACAGTGCATTTCTTTTATTGAAGTGATCTTTTTTTTTGGCCTTTTCGACAGCTGCATTTAATTTTACACATCGTTGCACTTCCTGTAATGCAGGAACTGTTAATTCGAGCGCGGCATCCTCTCTGGGTTTTTACAACAAGTCAAATTCCCCCAATATTTATAGGACCAGACGCTAAATGATCCTTGCAAATGGCTCTTGCTTTGCTCTGCTCCATCCTTTGTCTGGCCGGCACTCAATCGGGATTAAACGGAACACTTTTGTTTGTCTACGGGAGGCATCAGGCTTCCGGCGTGTTTATCTGCAGATAAACCCATCAGTGGGGGAGAGAGGATGATTTATGTATTCCTAAAACATAACTTCAGATCAGCCTTCTTCCTTCTTAAACTGCTCGGCTATCGAGTTTCCACGTGGAAACCCCGTAACCAGAGACGAAGAGGGGGTGGGGGGGGGGGGGGGACTCTTCGGGCTGAAATGATTTATTTTGGTGAAGTGGGAAACCAAAAAAAAGTAACTAATCAAGCTGAAGTTTGGGTGTTTTTTTTAAAAAAAGAAAAAGGCTGAGATAGAGAGGGTTCTATTTGATCTTCACACCGTTTCCCTTATCTGCCCTCCATCACCACTGACTCTGTGTGTTTTTTTTCTCTCTCTCTCTCTCGGGTTGACAAACAAAGAAAGTGGCAAAATTGTTTTTTTTAATAAAACTCCAGTAGAGAAAGAACTTTGGCAAACTTCGATGGGAGTAGAAAGGAAGGAATTCCGCTCAGTCAAGCGCATGTACATATATATATATATATAGCTGTCAAATCCAAGCATCTTACAAATCGTTTCTGTCGTGTTTTTTTTAAAAAAATCACGAGTTCAGTTATCTGCTAATGTGGCTCCAGCATAAATGCTGCACAAAACAGAACAGCTCATCTGAGAGCGTTTCAATTCCGACTCCCATCCTCACACACACACACACACACTCACATCAAACTGGTAAAGACCACATTGGGAACTTGGGGCACTTTTTTGTTAATTAAGAAAAAAGCGCTTTCCGTAAAAACTCAAATATTTTGCTCAAAACACGTGCAAACCTTTTTCGGTTTTTTATTTTTTTTGTGGGGGGGGGGGATTACATTTAAATTGCATCTCCATTGATAAACATACAGCTCCTTTCACACAGACTGCACACTTTCTAATAGTAGCTTTCGTGTTGCACTGGAATGAACGATTCGGCGAAGTGTTTGAACGGCGCCTTACACTGTAGGGCACCTACTTAATAGTGTGCACACTTAAATATAAATATAAATGTAGATTTATTCGATTGACACACGCGCATCTAACTTACATATACTTCTTAAAATATTGTACCTTTCCCCCGGTTTTTTTTTAACAATCTTGTATTTCGGTGGCAGTGTTTTAATTCATTTCAAAAAAAATCCCAATTACTATTTCAATTCCAGTTGAAATATTTCAGATGATTTAAAACAAAATCGCGTACGAATTAATTTGTCCCCTTACTGCTCAAAATAAAATCGTTGCCTTTAAGTTTGTGTGTGTGTGTGGGGGGGGGGGGGGGTGGGTTCGTGTGTCTACAGATTTATTTGCACAGTTAATTGCCTATGGGCAGTCTTAATACTGGTCTTTAATTTCACCGCCTCCCCACAAAAATATTTTAATTACAACCTTTGGATCCAATGCAACTGAGGGAATGCGAATTGGATTTGGAAAGTTAAAGATAGGTACAGTTGCCACATTGGAAGGACACATCGGGGTTTAAAACTGCTAATGTTACAGTAATCACCGCTGTACAAAAGGGAAAGGCCACTGAATTAAAAACAAATTTGCAAGATGCCAACCTACCGCAAATGCTCATGAATAAAACTATGATTGCGTCTGCAAACCAGTGTGTAACATGAGCAATGTCATGTCTCAGTTGCAGCTACTTTTATCGTGAGGACCTTTGAAATGGCTATTTGTTTATTTGCTTACATTTCGTGTGTAACAACCCGTACTTTCAGGTTGGTGTGAAAGAAACACCACAGTT